GGTTGTTACCTACCCACGGTAAGTCTACCGTGTAACCGGAAAAATACATTTCCCGTATATACAATCGGCCTTGGTGTGTTTCGTGAATTTATTACGGGGAAACGTATCGTTGAACGGAGATATATATTTTCCCGAAATATTTTTCCTCCCGTTTGTTTTTTAGCGAAAAGAAGAGGGGGAGAAGAAAATGGGAAAGGACAAATTTAAATTAGAAATTAACACAGATATTGACCGTTGTATCATATTCAAGGGAATAATGTATTCGACACTTGATATTTTCACTAGCGAAATGCTAGTTGTGATAATAAAACGCATCGAAGCCAAGGCGTAAGATTTTCCTTGTCCCACATTCCTAGCATCCTTGGCAAAGTTTCGCGTCGGTGACGTTCTTCGTTTGCAGGACAAACCTCTGCCTGTTTGTCTACATGTTTGCATGCTCGACCACGATACTTCTTTTATGCGATTTCTTTTTCTATAAATTTTATTACCGTTCAATGCTTGTCTTTGTGCGAAGAAATATAGCATTTGAAAAACGCGGCAAAATTCATGTTGCGTGTAAAGAGAGAAATAAAAGAGTCACAATAATGGAAGGGGCGTGTTTATTTGAAAATGCCTCGGGTCTAGGCTGGAAAGTAAGCGTTGGAAAATAATCTTTTTATTTCGTCGAGTCGAGCATAGTTTATTTTTGTGATTAATAATGATATTAAAACTTGTACACAATTGGTTTGCCGATAAATTTTAACGTTCAATTTTATTGATCGGTGAAATGATTGGATTATTGTAAAAGTTTTATTTTTTTATTCTATCGAAATATTTAATTACATTTTCATCGATCCAAACAAAATATCGAAACGTATTCATTTTAAATCGTTCAACTAATAAATTCTATTATTAAAAATCGATGAAAATTCAAATTAAATTTTGTGATTATATGAAAAACAATGAGTTATATGAGACAATTTTTTGTGAAATATTATTTTATGGAAACAATCAATTTTTAAAATTTCAATATTTTCTTTAAAATATTTTCTTTACAATAGTTAAATATATAAAATATTTAATTTAGTATCATATCGTTATAAAAAATATACAAGTTGCATTTAAAAAAAAAAAATTAGAGAATTTTCTCAAAAAAATTTTTTGTCAATATAACCTATTATATTTTACATCTATGAATAAGAATTTTTGAATTCATATACACAACTTTTCTTACAACATAATGCATAAAGATTTTTGTAATTAATTGTACATTTAAATTTTATTACTCGAATGATTTTTATAAAAATTAAATATGTCCAAATCTTTTTTTGTTTATAAATAAAAATAACAAAAAAGTATTATAATATTACAATCTTTCTTTAAACATATAACTTATATTTTTTTAAATTATATTAGATATTATTATGTAAATTGAATTTTTTCGATTCGACATTCTAAAGATTTTCTGATTATTCGGTATTTATTTAATATCTAAGAATTGGAATAATTGCTATTTTTAAAATATATTTATATTTTAATATATTAACTATAAATAATCTATAAATAAATATATCCATAACTAAGTTATAATAAT